CCCCCCCCGCCCCAGACAAGGTTTCTCTCTGTATAGCCTTGGCTGTCTAGAACACACTCTGTAGACCAGTCTGGCCTTGAACTCAAGAGATCCACCTGCCTCCCAAGCACTGGGATTAAAGGAGTGCACCACCATGCCCAGCTGATACTCTTTTTTTAAACCCTTAATATATGAAACTTTGTTGCAAAAAAAATATAAAGTCACATCATATAGTACAGGATTAGTATTTATTATACATGACCATAAATAATGTGTTCTTTACTTCAAATAAGTGGGTAGAGATCTTAAGAGGGCAAAGAAATGTTACCTTGTCCCTATTTCTAGTTTGCATTTTATTACTTTGGCACTTTGAAAAGGGTGACTGTATAGTTCAAGCATAGATCAGATCAAATATTATTGTTAAAGTGCTATTTTTCTTTTTTCCAGTTTATCATGCAATCTACTTGGAAGAAATGGTTGCCTCAGAAGTTGCTCGAAAGCTTGCCTCGGTGTTTAATATTCCTTTCCACCAAATTAACCAGGTTTACAGACAGGGCCCCACTGGTATCCACATTCTTGTTAGTGACCAGGTAAATCAAACAGGCAGTAGTCACTTCCTGTCCCATTGGCACTGGTCTGCATTGTTGGAACTGTAACAAATGCTGACTTCTTTTGCAAGTCTTGATAGTCATTTTTAAAGAGCTGGGATCAAAATGTGTAAGAGTTTATAACCAGGAGTTAGAGCATCTTAGTAGAGAAGGGATAGTCGAGGAAAGCAGACTTTTGGGGGCTCTAAGGTCAGTGACGGGCTTCTGTCCTTCCTGGGGGGTGAGGCATTAGATATATTCTCCTTTTACACATTATTGGAAGAACGGTATTTTTAAAACATGTAATATTACAAGTACAGCCTGCCCCCTGCTCAAGCTATGTTCACTGACAGGCAGTAATAATAGGAAACAGTCTGCATAATCTTTAAGTCGGTATCCGTAGGACCTGGCACAGCATTCTCCTCAGTTGCTCCAGGGTAACAGGTGTAAACTTGGACTCTCTCATACTGCCATCATGGATTGTCTGGATCCTATATTTGTGTAAGAAAGATGTAAGGATTGTGTTGTAGTCCTTTAGCCACAGATTTAACCGTGTATGGTTACTTAAGAACTGGTGGGTCTTATATACTTACACGTCTGCTTTATCTTTCTAGATGGTTCAGAACTTTCAAGACGAGAGTTGTTTTTTATTCTCCACAGTGAAAGGTACTTTCCATGTATGTGTGCCTTGGCATGTTGTGATCATGAAGGACAGTGTGCCCCTGATAGCAGCTCTCTTGTGTGCGCATATTCTATTTTTTTTTGTTTTTGTTTATTCCAGACAGGGTTTCTCTTTGTACCCCTGGCTGTCCTGGAACTAGCTCTGAAGGCCAGGCTGGCCTCCTCTGCCTCCTGAATGTTAAGATTAAAGGCATGTGCCACCACTGCCTAGCTATGTGTAAATATTCTTGAAAACGATGTCTTAGCTAATTTTAAGGAGTTGGAACATGGATGAGCAGTAATTTTAGTGTTTCTAATAGAAATTATCTAGTAGATATAGAAAGGGTTGATTTTTCTAGATGACATTCTGCCAGTGTTTGCTGAGCGTCACATCCAAGACTGTTAGTGCTAGTGCTTGAATGAAACAAGGACAGTGGGGAAAGTCAGACTTGGCCACAGGCACAGCAGATGACCAGTATTCGGTGCTGTGAAGAAATAGTGTGGGGCTAACCGGGAAGGGGAAGCATGGAGTGCCGTTACAGAAGGCTTTTCTGAGGTGATCTGAAAAATGAGCTGGCCACGGGACTAGCCCAAGGGCGGCGTGGGACTGTGCAGAAGAATGCACTTGGCTTCTGTGAGGCCTGGAAGAAGGCCATGCAGCTGCCATGTAGGGTGAGGGTGAGCAGAGGAGAGTGGGGTCAGGGAGAGAAGCAGGCCCTGGCTTACAGTGATGGCTGGTGATGATGGTCACTGAATCTTACTTCAGATGGGGTGGGAAGTTAGTGAAGTGGGTTAAACAAAGGAATAATGGGGTTGGGGTTTTTTCTACAACTGTGGAAATAACAAGATGGTAAAACTGGAAGGTAGGCAGTCTGTCTAGGCCAGAGGTAGTGGGAGTGTATGGACATGTGGACAGAGCTCACTGGGCTCCCTGTTTGATGGGGAGTAGTTGTGATTGCCAGGCAGGTGACCGCCTCATCAGAGAGGTAAGTAAGGTTGATGCGAAACAACTTGGTATGTCAAGCAGGCAGCTAACTGTACCACTCTGAGGTGCCGTGGGCTTGGGGTGCTATTTTAGACTGTCTGGATGTCAGAGCTTGGCAGGCTGTACAGCGCTGATGAGGGAGCAGTGTGGGAAGAGGTCCAGGTCAAGTGAGCTCCAGAGTACAGTTAGAGAGGGAAGGGGTTCGTGAAGGCAGACCCGGGTTAAGATGGCCTCAGCCCAGACTCCTCTCCCCCAGAAGAGGACAAGGTCTCCCGTCCCCCTTTTCTGGTAATCACTGCAAAGCAGCAGCCCAAAAGGGTTGAAGTGACAATTTCTTTTTATACCCGATGGTGATATATGCCACTGGCCATCAAGCCCCCTGCAGATCTAAAGCAGCTGTGAACTGGCTCACTTGTTAGTCATGTGCAGAAACAGCTGTAATTTCAAAACTGTATAGCTTTTATCTTACAAAATTCCAGAAAACCCAGAAACCCATGCTTAGTCACATACTTGGATCTTGTGAAACTCGTGGCCGTTTACAGAATTAGTCCTTACAAGACTTCTCTCCAGTCTTAGTTTACTGTTAGTGAGACTTCGTCCACATGAAAACCTCCATTTCTGTTTTTAGGAACGCCTTCACTGCATCTCACAGTTTTCTGAGGCCATTAGGCAGTCTTACTAGATATCTGCCTCTGAGGATTCAGTTTTCCAGGAAAGGGAGATGCAGGCTGCCCGCCCGTCGGGTGCAGGGCCTTCTCAGCTCTGCCCTCGCACAGTGCTCTGGCCTAGTGTACATCTAGTGCACACCCAGCATACAGGCTACCTGCTGCTGTGCTCCCAGGCTCGTCCCTGTAGGGCAAGCAGTGCAGGGCGGGGGCCCAGGGATGTGTACATGGAGTTGTCCCCGGGAAGCAGAGCCAGAGCAAAGCAAAGCAATTAGCTTTTTATCAAGCTGGCAACTCGGAAGCAGATTGTACATTTCCATCTTTAATTCAGTTTCTTTTCTAAGTTTAGTTTGTTTTTTTTAACTTTTTCCCTTTTTTTTTTTTTTTTGGCAGCTGAAAATAATGATGGTATTCACATAATTTTGAAGTGATACCTTATACAGACTGAACTCTATTCAGTACCAAATAAAGTCATGCTTAAAAGTGTGTGAAGACTGAATCCAAGAAGTCTTGGGATTGGATTTTACTGTGAAATGTTTCATATTGAAAACACAAGAGGACCTTCCTAATGAGCTGTAGGAGAGACAAGTCTCCTCATTGTCACTGCCACAGCCCAGTACCCTCATGAGAGTGAGCACATCAGTCAACGTGCAACCAGCTCCCGGCCACGGCGTGGGCACAAGTGCCCACTTTCCTAGCAGGGCCAGCGGCCAGAGTTCCCGAAGCAGTCTCTGCTGGCTATTTGACACTGTAGCGGTTTGAAATGAATGTAAAAACTCAGCCGTGGGCATTTCCCTTTCTGTGCCAGTCTGGCTTTTGTTGCCTGACCCTTAGCTGACCTGGGGCGGAGATAGGGTGTGTTCTTGGGGGAGCTGTGTTGCAGACACGGCGGCATTGGTCAGGTAAGAGGCTGAGCACCTTCTCAGAAGTGATCGTGTCTGAAGGTGTGCATCCAAGGGGATCATGCCAGACCAGGGAAGAGCCAAGCAGAGGAGATGAGCAAGCTATCCGCAGTACCTTGCTGTGAGGTCAGTGTAAACCCTAATAGGTACAAAGACTTGGGTGTTCGGCTTTTGCTTCCATGTTTAGCCTTTAGTTTCCAGATTTCACCATTTAAAACCCCGTTGCCTTTGAAACTCATGTGATTTCCTTTTCTCATCTCCCCATTCTCCATCCTGTCCCCGCCCCATACACACTTAAGCCTCCCAAGTAGCTGGGACTCCAGGTGCGCACTCACTTGTTTGTGCCTAGCTCCGTTCTTAAACATGTTTAAAGCCCTTCCCCAGACATTAGAACTAGGTGATGTGACAGGGGAAACAAAGTATTATTGTTGATAACTTCTGACTTGGTGTTAAAGGGATCTTTGTTTTGAATGAGACACAAGTACCCATGGAAACACTAGATGTCACAACAAGACACTAAAATGTACCATAACCCCTCTCCTCCCCTCGGATGCTGAGTTTCAGTACAATCATGGATCTCTCTGGTGATTAGTTAGGGGCTGTCAAGGTGTCCTGCATCTTTGCTGCTTTGTAACAGGTGTGCCTCTTTATAGGATCACATGTGCTCGCACACCACTCTCAAGGGAGTCTTGGCCTTTTCCCTCCCCACCACCACCTCTCCAGAGTTCATCAGCAAACATTTTGTGAGGCCTGTGGCAGGTCTGAGTTTTAAAAAACTTTTTTCCATTTTAATTAATTATGTAGCATCTCTGCCCATTCGCTCAGCTGCTGGCTGTGAATGTCTGTCTGACCCTTGTTCAGGTGGGTAGGAATGACTACTTCAGTGGGTAACGGCTTTAACGTCTTGCGTTTTATTCATAATGGGGGTTAATTATTTGCCACAAACTCAACTGTCTCCATGTTTTCATCTTGGGCTTGGTAGGGCCGTGGCTCTGCAGCCCTTGAGGAGGGGAGCGCTCCCATCTGCCCTTCCCTTTGCTCTTGTGACCACATGCTTTCTGTACCAGTCACTTATTTGGGGAAGAAGCGAATTTATCTCTGAATTGTTTTTAGAGTTTTGCTTGTCTGTTAGCTTTCTTTTTTGGATCTCATGATTTATGGAACAATAAATGTCATTTAATGCTGTGTGCTATTTTGAATTCCTTATCAGGTTTTAGAAGTGGGGTGAAAGTACTTACAAGCTCCTCAGACTTGAAACTGTGCTGAGCAGCACAAAGTGCTGGTCTGTCTCAGTGAAACTGTATAGAACCCACAGCACCAGCAGTTTGCTATTTGGTTACTAGGATGTACAGTTGAGTGTAATAAATGTTTTCTGATTGTTTTGTAAATGTGTCACTCATTTAACACCTAAAGTTGTACTGCTGCCATCTCAGGCCACCCTGTGGGCTGCCCCTGCCCTCTCTTTGCTGCTGCTTTCCACAAAGGTGACATTACAGGAACTACCCCACCTTACAGAAGACAAGTCAGGCTTTCTGACTAGAGCTTCTTCTAGTCTGGGAGTGAAGGTGTGGTCACTGAGCACCAAGTCCTACATCGATGATTGGCTGCACTCTAGCTCAGAAAAATATATGGTTGTCTCTGATGTTTAATAGAAATGAGTTCATGAATCACTAAAGCAAGTCTAGTACACACTTCACACTCCCCCGCACCCCTTATAGTTACTTAAATAGCTGTTGTGATATCCATATAGCCTTCAAACCAGGGAATAGTGCAACATGTCACAAGGCAGTCAACCCCACAGTAAGCTAATGCTTACAAGGATTCTCCTAAGGAATTTCCATCGTATATGTGTGTACTTGCTTTCCTTCTGAAAATGGAGCTGGGCAGCGTGTATAGAGGCTGTAACCCTGTCCACAGAAACACAGCTCATTTTTGCAGTTTTGGCTGGGGAGTGATTGCTAGGAAGGTTCCATTACCCCCTACCAGCTACCTTTAACCCCTAAAGTCACATTGAAGGTGGTGGTAAATGTCGACAGCTCGGAGCAGACAGCAGCCATAGTAAAAGACTGGGCATCATCCTACTTTAGTTCGGGTAATAGAGAAATGCCTGCATTTGGAAAGTGGCTTTGCTCAGATTTGCCAGCTTGAGCATCACAGCAGTAAAGCCTCTGACCAATTCTAGTGAGCACTGTAAGGGCCTGATAGGAGTTCTAAAGGTGCCAACATGTTACTTGTTTGAGTTTTTCATGTGGGAAGCTTTAATATAGTTCTGGTATGATCTCTAAAAATTCAGTAAATTTGAAAAAAAAATACATCCATTCTACATGCACCCATTCATTATTTTTACTTGATTATATTATAGATAACTTAAGCCTTAATTCTATATTTCTTCAAGGTTCCCCCAAATTTTTTTGAGAAGTGTGGACATAATTGGCTTTTTTTTTTTTCTTAACAAAAATTCACTGTATGCTGTAGCATGTGGCAGGGCTTATCATTTCCAGTGGGACAGTGTAAAGTAGGTTGCTTTTGTTTAGTTTTTGGTCTCTAGAACTGGATGTGACAAGCTGACACAAACAGACCGGTGAAGATGCTGCCCCACCCGGTTCGGAAGTCCTGTTTCTTTGGTGTCTTATGGAAATGTGTTAGCATGCCTTTCACACACGTCTCTACATAGGAAACTACCAGCCATTCTGAGTTTGCAGTGCGGTCACGTTGATCAAGGTGCTATTCAGTCTTCAAAGTGGAAAGGTCCTGCAAACAGTAGGCGTCGTTATGAATTAAAGTAGGCCACTGGCGTAAGGATCAGGTGGAGAACGGCAGGCCCTTGCTCTGCTCAGGTTGTGCTAACACTGACGGTCTATGGAGGGTGCTGGCAAAGCCGCGGGCTCTGTGCCTAGGCAGGTGCCCACCTCTGCAGGGCTCTGGGTTACTTGTGTGGTCTTGGCTGCACCACACCACTCTTGCCACATGGTAACTGACACAGGCTTTGATTTGCTTGCAGCCCAGCCAAGGTTAAGGTGAGTGGTATCACCAGTTACTGTGATCTGTGCCCAAGTCTTTTACCTGTAATGCTTTCCCAATGGAGAGTCGAGATTGGGTGATGGTGGTGCAGTCAGGAGACTGGTCTAACCTGGAAGATGGGGCCCTTGGCCTAAGCAGCTGCTGTCAGAGTATGACACAGCATCTGCACAGTCGATGTCCGCTGCCCGCCACTGCTGGTGGAGGGGTGACTGGAGCAAAGTAGGCATGGACTTTGACATGAGGAAGCTGGGCCTGCAAGGAGACAGAGGAGGGGCGTAGTCGGCCCTGGTGTTAGGATTCTTGGAGAGCAACTTATGAGAACCTGAAGTCATAAGCTACAACTGCTCCCGTCACACTCCCTTCTACCCCCAGAGTCCAGCACCGTCTAGAGACAAGCGGAAAGAGTCTCCCAGGGGCCATTTTGTAAATGGCCCCCACACTTCAAGCTGTCCTTAGATGGAAGCTTGCGAAGGTGCCAATCACCAGACTACATGGAACCTCCACCTCCAAGAATAGGTGTTTGAAGAAGCCTAAGGAAGTGCTGTGTCAGCAGACCAGTTTGCGTGAACACAACAGACTGGAGAAGTGGATGTAGTGTGAGTGCATGCCACAGCGTGTATGTGGCGGTCAGAAGACATTTGGGAATGGGTTCTAGTCTACTTCGTGTGATCTTGGACTTGAACTCAAGACAGCTTGGCATGAGCACCTTCACCTGCTGAGCTCTTAGCAGCCTAGCTCTTGGTTTCTGTGTAGCCCTCAGCTGCTAAGGAGGCCTCACACCTACCCGCATGCGCTTGATGCCGGCACGGGTGACCTGCTGGCAGTCGTACAGCTCCAGGCGCTCCAAGCCACGGCAGTTCTCCAGGTGCTCCAGTGCAGCGTCCGTGACGAGGAGGCAGTTGTCCAGCTCCAGGACCCGCAGTCTCTCGTGCCCACACGTGCTGCTGCTCAGGTGCAGGATCCCTTCGTCGGTGATGAGCTCACAGTGGGACAAGCTCTGGGGATGGGAAAGAAACATTCTTTCGGAGGACCCTCATTGCAGGTTCCAGCTCATAAGAGCTGGCTCCTGAAGTGCCCCGGGGTAACTGCTTGCTGTGGTGTGAAGTGTGTGATATGTCCTCTGAAAAGCACATGCTGGCAGTTTTGTGCCATGTGTTGGGGAGGACCACCTTTATGAATGAATTAAAGATGTAAGGGCTGGTCTACAAAAACCTCATCAGATTGACAATCCCCCATCATCCAGTACTGCAGGAAACACTTAGTCTGGGGTTTTCTGTAAGACCAGCACAAAATGGCCATGACAGTTTTCTTGTCCAGGGAGGAGCTGACAAGGCCCCCGAGTTTGCTATTCCCGGGCCATAGCAGCTAACTTTAACCCAAAATAAGGAAATACATGTTCCAGGGGGGGTTTAAAGTTTACCCCCTTGAGCAATTTTATGGCCCAATTCACCATCTGAGTAGAGCCTTCACCAGTAAAGCCAGTGGTTTTGGTGCCCTTTTTCCTTTAAAACATACAGGGCTGGAGAGGTGGCTCACTAGTTAAAGCACATGCTCTTCCAGAGGACCAAAGTTTGGTTCTCAGAACCCATGTAAGGTGGCTCACGACTGCTTGTAACTCTGGCTACAGGAGAATCCAATGTCTTTGGCTCCCATGAGCACCCAGTCACATGCACTCGTCCTAGCACAGATATAATACATTAAAAAGTGCAGGTGGCCAGGACCCTGACCCATAGTCATGCATCATTAACCTCTTGGAAGTAGTAATAATAAAGGTTGCAAAAGTAATGGGTACTTTACACAGCCAAGTTTACTTAGTAACTTCAGACTGGACAGTTTCTTCACTGGAAATGGAAAATCTACACTATTATAAAAGTTCTTCAGAGGGGAAAAGAAAGAGTGACTGACAGGTTTACCCTGAGGAAGAGACTGAGGTGATGTCTGAGGTATTGGGGCCGAGTAGGAAAGGGCAGGGTATGCTGCAGTGCCCCAGCTGGTGGACAAGAATGTAGGTTCAGAGCTTAGCAGAAAACAGGATGTCCTGGGTGGGCAGAGATCCCCGGATGTGCAGGCCGTTTAAGCCAATGCACGGTAGAAGTGGAGGTCAGAGGACAATTGAGGGCGCTGGCTGTTTTCTACCACCATCTGGGTCAAGCTTGGCAGCAATCACCCTTCCCCACTGAGCCTGCCCATGGCTTTTCTTTTGATCCAGGGTTACTGGGACTATGATGTTACACTTCTCAGAAAGCTCCACAGTATAGAATCCTGTTAATTCTTTAAATGTTAGGAAGAATTCTAAGCAAATCCATTTGTATATGAACATTTGGGGGAATTTAGAGAGTAAGTGAATCTCCTTAAGAGAAGTTTGGAAGTTATTTTACATCAAATGAGTTATTGGTCCATTTCACCCATGTTGTCAAATTTATGTAGTTGAATGTATCCATAATGTGAAATTTTTAAATTCTCCAAACTTTAAAAATGTTTGAGTATCACCACAGTATTTCCACAAATAGGAAATCCACAGGCAACCTCCTGAGACAAGCCACAGCTGAACACAGTAGCAAGACAGAAATGAATTTGTTTTAGCTTGGGCCCTAATCCCAAGCACACTGTGTAAGTGTGTATGACAAGTGTGTGATGAAACAGTCTGGAAGCCCGAACGCCTCCGTCCCACACGTTTTTGGGTAAGGACGCTCAGCCTGGACAGAGCTGGGGACAGCCGGCCTGAGGGCCTCTTTCCAAAGCAGCAAGTGTCTCCATGACACTGCTGTCCTGTTTGCTTTTCAGTTTCACTCGTGTCCACCATGGTCTGTCCTTTGAGTTTGGGCCGTATTTTACTTCTTTCTGGCTTCTTGGATTGAAAAATTAAATCATTGGGACCTTTCTCAAATGCAAGCATTGGTGTCCGAGTCTGCAGAGCACTTAGTTCTCCCACAGTGTGATGTGACTTTCATTCAGTTCACCTCCCTTTCACTCTCTTGAGTTCCCTCTTGACTGCTCTTATCTAGAAGCCTGCGCTTCAGTTTCCACGTGTAACCTTTCTGTTGCCGTCTTGAGCTGAAAGCCTGTAATTCTCCAGTTAAGGTTATTACTCAGTGGGGCTCTGGGACCTGTTCACAGTGCGCTCACTGCAGGACGCATCCTTCCCTCAGCTTCTGCCCATGCAACTCTGACTGGGCATCTCAGAGAAGTGGCAAACCCCTACAGAAGATGACACCTGTCTTTGGGGGAATGGCTTACTTCACTTAGCATCATGTCCTCAAGCTCATCTGTCTGGAAGCATGTGCCAGGATTTTCTTCCTTCTGTTGAACAACATTCTCCATGTGTGTATGCAGCATATTGCATTTCCCTATTGATGGACATTTGGGTTGTTTCCCTTTGGCTGTTGTGGATTAATGTTTCAGTTTGGATGGGCATGGCTGTCTCTCACATCCCCCTTTCAGGGTGGCTTCGTTCCATTTTGTTGGTGGTGTTTTATGTTTTGTTTTGTTTTTTGACATACCCAGCAACTGCAGTTTGTAACGTGCTGAGGACCCACCACGTTGCTTTCTGGGGTAGTGGAACCATTCTCCATTCCCACCAGCAGTTCACAAGGGTTCCTGTTTTTCCATGTTCCCCCAGCACTTCTCTAAAGGAGATCTCCACCACATAGGATCCAGAGCTGAGAATTCTCAGCCTTTGTTTTTTTGTTTTGTTTTGGAGACAGTGAATTCTCAGCCTTCGATGAGTCTCAGTGTCTGTTTGAGGTTCCTCGTGAGGAACTGGCTTTGGTGGCTGGAGAATGGATGATGGTGGTGGTGGTGGCCGTGGCGAGCATTGGTCTGTCTGAGGTTTGATTAGCTTGAACCTACAGGAACATTTTACCAACTTTGGAATTTTTAGCTGTTTCAGTTCTAATTGTGATACTGTAACTGTGACATCTTCTGTTCCAGCTCCCTAAGGCCCTAAACTACCCCCTCTTGTTCTTTATTTTCTTCAGGCTGCTCTCACTTGCCAAGAGTAAGCCATCTCTGTTTTTGGGTCCTCCACTCTGCTTTAAGGCCGCCCACTGAACTGTGGTTTTAATTTTCTGAACACTTGAATATACTGAATCTAGTCACAGACATTGACTTTCTGTTGGTTTTACTGTGTTTTCATAATTTCTAGCTGGAATGTTTCTCTGAAGTCCACTTTAAAATGCTTTCATATTATCTGGACTTGTCATCTTGATGGTGGTGCCCACTGACCATCTCTTCTCATGAGTCCAGATTGTTCTGTTGTATCCCAGACATTAAAATGTCCTATTTACATCTCACTGCACCAGGCACGACATTGCTATGCGGTAACGCTCTGTTGTCAACATACAGTGGCCAGGAGTCCCCATCCCAGTCTGATCCCAAGGGGCAGGTGCCCTGTTACTGCTAGGTAGAGGTGGGCGGTCAGACTCCCAAACAGCCCTGATTCAGGTGCGGGGGACATGTGACTGCCACCTGGTGAGTGCCTCCCTGTGGTCTCCAGTGGTACTGCATGTGGGGGCTGGGTTATTTTTACTACTGGGCAAAGATGAGAGATCCTAGCTCTCCACTTGCCCTTTACTGGCAGGATGGGGAAACACAGTTTTCTCTGGGGCTAGGGGAGAATTACTGTCAGAAAGAACAGATTCTTTGGGATTTCTTCCCATCTCAGCATTTCTAGTTGTCAGCTCCTTTAGAACCTAGCTGGGATGTACAAAGCAAAAGCAACCCCGCCCCCCACGGACTCACTCAGTCCACAGCCCTAAGGTCCCTGCCTGGCTTCCCCATCTTCTCTTGCCTTCTTGATATTTAAATAGAGGCTCTGTGTCTAGGCACTTAGTTGAAAGTCAATGTAGATGACAAAGTATAAGGACTTTTTTTTTTTTTTTTTGGGTTTTTTTTTTTTGGGGGGGGGGGGGTTTTTTTTAAAGGCAAGCTCTCTGTAGACCAGGCTGGCCTCAAACTCACAGAGATCCACCTGCCTCTGCCTCTTTGAGTGCTGGGATTAAAGGCGTGCACCACCCAGCTAATAAGGAAGACTTTAAGGCAGGTACTTCAGCAGAGAAAGGAGGCTGTGCTTTTGTACCTGTGCTGGCTTTCCTCTCCTCTGCTGGGTGCTGGGGGTCTGCCTGGAGTCAGAAATGTACTCTCTACACATGGTGCAATGCTTCCTAAGGGACACCTCAGGAGTAGCCTGCCAGCAGAGGTGTGATGAGCCACAGCCTGAGGAATGAGGCCCAGTCCCCTGCCTGAGCCTGAGCCTTCCCTGGTCTCCAGCAGTCACGCTGGAGATGGTGGTGCAATACTGTAAGCTGGTCGGCTGCTGGAGAAGCCACCTGGTGCTCTGAGCACACACGAGTGTGTCAGGGAGAGGATTTGCTGCCCGGTCCTTGCTGACTCCCTCCTTCGGTGCCAGATGGCTGTCATGGCACAGTGCCCTCCTGACGATGCCTGAGCCTCACAGGGGTTGGGATGGTCCCAGCACTCACTGCGCAGGCGCATGCCCTATCCTCTGGGGCAGAGCCCAAGGGTCCTGGCTGTCCTCCACAGTGGCAGTCTTAAACCACGGGCCCAGTCCTTCCTAGAAATCCCACAGCAGGAGGCCACCTTGGATTTACAGAAAGCACATTTACTGTTTAAAGGTAAAAAATCAACGCACAGATAGAACTACAGAGTCAAAGGGTAAGATAAAACGTTAAAGACAAATTATTCCAAAGAAGCACCAAAAACGCAGAGAAAGAGAAAACTAAAAGCAATAGTAAATAGAGGTCACGGCCCAGCTGTAGCCATTACATTGAACGTCAGTGACTAGATCTTCCCATTCAAAGGTAGAGATCTGGGCTCAGGATCAGTTCAGTGGCAAGAGTAGTGCCTAGCATGGCTGAGGCAGGGGAGTAGGAATTAGGCAGGTATGGTTGTTCAGGGAGGCTGAGGCAGGACTGTGAACTCCTGGCTAGCCTAGGCTACACAAACTGATTCCAAACAAAGCCAAGGGTTGAAGGGTGTAGCCTGGTGGCAGAATGCCTGTGTGGCAGGGTCAGGGATGTATGGCAGGGGCAGGGATGTGGACTGAGCCTCAGGACTGAGAAGACTTAAAAAGGCCAGCCGGGGAGAGATGACTAGGTGAGCAAAAGCTTGTAGGCTCTTACAGACAACCCACACAGGGCAGCTCGCAACCACCTATAACTCCAGCTACAGGGAATCTGAACCTTCTGGGCTCTGGGCGCTGCACTCATGTGCATGCCCACAGACACATGGTTTTAAAAGTCAGACTAGGGCAAATTAACACTCAACTCCCTGTCTCTAAGAGACATAAACAGATAAGCTGAAAGAAAAGCACATGCCACTCACAGTATCAATAAGATGATCACATCCTATAAAGCATATGATGCCAAAGTTGGCTCATCAGAAAACCACCACCATGGGTTTGTGTGCATTCTCATCCAATAAGGAAAGCTAACAGTCCCAGCCAGGCTATGGTAGGGGATCTGTGCTGGAGGTGGTGTGGGCTTCTGGGGAGAAACTTTGTGGGCACATGGGAGAGTCTAATGTCTTCTAAATCTCAACATCCTGAGATGCTTACAAGTTCTAAAGACATTAGGGCACAGCCCTTACACAAAGATTCAAGTTTCAGAGCGGAAAACAGGTTGCTGTTGCCTGAATTTCCTGTATTCTCCAATGAGAACAGTCCCTGGTCAGAGAAGCCCTCAGGACAGCCTGCAGTGAGAATCTGCAGCTACAGCATTTCTCTCCAGACTCAGCTCTGAGGTGGTTCCCACTGTGGCTACAGGCCTCACTGCCTGCTACTTATCCTTGGCCGTTTTCACTTTGGGCTCTTTGATTTCTGGAGGAAGCTTTTTTTGACTTTGTTCTTTGAAATGTGGTCTCTACATGCCGGCCAGGCTGAGCTCACACCTAAAAGTCTTCTGTGTCGTCTTCCAGGAGCTGAACTCACAGCTGTCACCTCAGCCCACCTGATTTGTGGTGTCACAGTTCAGTTTACTCCTAAGTCCCATTTCTAGAAGCAGCATGAATAAAAAAGGAGGACTCATTGAGAGGAGTTTTTGGTGCTCAAACCCCCTAGGGAGAACTGGTTACTGGAAGGCATTCCCAAGAAGGGCAGTGAATGGGTCCTCTTCTCACAGGAACCCCTACCATGGCTGCCATTAGATCTCTCAGAACATGCTCAGACCTCTTTTCCCATGCAGCTGAGAGACTATGAAAGGCAAACCTAGCAGGAGGGTGGCCCCAATCTTTGGTCCATGTGAGGGCATTATACATGCCCACTTTCATCGCCCCGACAAGCTGAATATGAGGTTAACTGAAGTGATGGGCTTTGGTCCCTACCAGCTTCACTTCCTACAATGGAAGCAGTAACATTCAGATAGCCCACAGCCCAAGTTAGCCCAACAAGGAGATCTTTAGACCAAGAGCGACAGTGGCTTTACAGAAAGGGACCCATATGGCACTTGCTGGGGGGAGTGTCCTTTGCTTATTAAGACATTCGTAAGACATTACTATCGCCAATAACTCAGACTCACCAGGGCTTGCAGCTTGGGACAGTGAATGGAGAGCTGGATGAGGGTGCTGTCAGTAATCTGGAGAGAAACATGCTGTCAGTGTGGCTTCTACGCCAGGACTTAATACCTAATCCTGGCTTCTGAGCGTGGGGGTCAGAGGGTACAAAAGAAAACTAACATCTCTTCCAAGCACACTGGGCTCAAACTGCCAATTCCTGGGGAGGCACACTCTTGTTTGGCCTTGCTTCTGGTGCCTGAGGGAGCCTAGACAGGACACAGAAGCAGGTGGACAAGGAGTTCCCCAGGACAGCCTTCTCTGTAGATACCCTATAACCTGACATGCAGGTTCATTCCTCTCACAGGCTATGTGTAAAATAAAGGGGATCCTGCTTATGCTTGGAAATGGATGGTGCTCTCTTGCATGTTCCTGCTCTAGTCTGTCTGAAGTTCCCATTACAAGTGGTCTAAAGGGGCCCAGTCCCCACCGCCATGCTGGGGGATGGTAGCCCAGGCTTGCTACTACACCAGGCCCCTAGCAGGGACAGAGCAGCCCAAGGGGCGGCCAGAAGTCCACTCACCAGGACACATTCTTCAAGATCCATCTTCTCCAGGTCATGGCAGTTCTGAAAAAGGCCACAAGACACGTGAAGAGTGGCCCTGCAGCTCCCCCGTTCCACTGAGGAATGGGCCCTACTTCTACAGCAGTTCTAAACCAGCAATTCAGAAGGCTGCCCTCCCAGTCAGTGCTCACTTCGGATGATGGCCGTGACTACTGGAGGCCACATCATCCTCTCAACCCAGAGAGGTTGACACATCTTTCTCACCACAGACTCGAGGAGGGCCTAGAAATGGATGCTCTGTCCTGTGGGAGGTAAGGACAGGAGGACACAGACAGGATACCACAGGCAGTATTCCAGAGGGCAGAGCACGGCCCTGCAGGAGAAGCTGAGCAGAAGCCAAGTTGGGTTCACATAGAAAGGGCACCTGCCACTGGAGAGGAAGTTCTGTTCAAGATGGGCCTCACTGACAACTGAGGGACAGTGAGACCTGAACTCCTTCTAGAATGCTCTGCAGGCAGGTCCAAACTGCAGCCAGTAGGCCACATGTGCCCAAGGAGAGCTATGAATGTGGCCCAACATTTTTTCTCAATGCACAGTTCTTAACATGAACTTTGTAACTGACAATGCTATGCTGAAAAGTTCAACACGCCTTCCAGGATCGCCCTAGAGTCCTGGCTAGCTGAGAAAAAAGTGCAAAACCTCCCAAAAGGGTTCTATCCTCCGACCTCATGTTCGTCTCTTCTGAAGCGAGGTTTTGGTTTCTTTGTGCTCCCCAAAACTACCCAAGTAACTTTGAACTATGGGGGGTTAATTACAACACGGTTGTATTTCAAACTCAATGCCTTACCCGAGCTAAGAGTGTAAAGCCTGCGTCAGTCAAATGGGAGCATCGGGCAGCCTCCAAAATTCTGGGAAGGGGGCGAGGGGAGAAACGGCATCAGAGCCTGGTTAACAACAAACACACTGCATGCCGCACATCCTCCAGTCTGCTGTTCTGCGGCACACCGAGCTGCTGTCCCATGCAAACACAGCCTCAGGACCCACAAGTGGCACCAGGATGGGGGACTGGAGCGGAGTCCTTATGTCTCCTCACAGGCATGGACAGTGATCCAGGAGCCTGTCCACCACTGTTTGTCTGTTTGTTTTTAACGCAATTAAAATGGATTTTTGCTAAACAAAAGCATGAGTTAATTCTCATAAGAATTGAAACAGGAGGGGCTGCAGAGATGGCTCAGAGGTTAAGACACTGTCTGCTCCCCCAGAGGTCCTGAGTTCAATTCCCAGCAACCACGTGGTGGCTCACAGCCATCTGTAATTCAATCTGGTACCCTCTTCTGGCATGCAGGCAAAATACTGTATACATAATAAATAAATAAATCTTAAAAAAAAAAAAAAGAATTGAAACAAGACCCTGTGATGGTAGTGCACACCTTTAATCCCAGCACTTAGGAGGCAGAGGCAGGTGGATCTCTGTGAGTCTGAGGCCAGCTTGGTCTACAGAGTGAGTTCCAGGACA